TTTTCAGCCCCAACATTAGCCGCCTTAGCCTTTAGCGTGGGACGTGAAGTCTGGACCGTGCTGCAGTTCCTTTATAGCCCAACATTAGCCACCTTTAGCTTAGCGGTGGTGACGTGAAGTCATGTGACCTTGCTGTAGTTCCTTTATAGCCCAACATTTGCTTTTTACTTCAGAAATCTTAAAGTGCTGTTATATGTTGAGATTATCCTGCTGAACTAAATGTGAAAGTCTCATAAACGTTTTTTTGACACAGAGATGATTTTCTGCATGAATCCAAAATCAAATGGAAAAATCCTATTGGCTTTCAGTCAAGGGAACCAGGCAAACATATGTAATCTCTGCCACACCCTTTAGTCGGACAACAGGATGCTATAGTCACAATCGTAAAGTCTCAGAACAGCAGGAGCAGAGTTGTATCATGGAACAGGAAATTGATCAACTAAATTAAAGGAAATTATGAAAGGAAATCAACAAAAGTCAAAAAGGTGAATTTGTAAACGTTCCCTTTAAAGCTGTGCAGAGGACGGAGCAATCTCATCCCATTTCATATTTCTCACATCCCTGCCTTTCTTAATTACAGCATATTTCTGACAGAGATCAATGACTCAATGAATGTCAGTGAGTTACTCTGGTTCATGACCAAATACCTGCAAAGCTAATGACATTCATCAAAGCCTCAGCTGTGCTTTCTGCAAAGCATGCACACACACTGAGATAAGATGGTGAAGAATATGTTTTGTCATTAAGGTTGTAAAGTTAACTTTGGCATTAAAAACTTGACTCGTTGGGGCATCAAACATAAGATCATATATTTAATTCATCAGCAATAGGCTTAAGGAATAGTTTCAATGCTGGGTCTCAATTTGTATTCTTGTGTACCAAAGAAAAGTATGGCAAAAGTCACTTAGAGAACCTGGATGGTTCTCTCATTTCTGTAAAGCGACACTTCCTATGTTTGTGGTCTTTGTACACAAACAATTTGATCACCCCAGGCAACATTCACTTTGCTCGGTACATCACATGTTGTGATACTCATGCATAGATTTATGAAAAATCTAATTTTAAACCAATTTCCTCTACTTTTAATGTGTGCTTTTGAATGCATAATTCATACCATTGAAAGCACTAATAGCGTTATTAAATTCAACCTTTTTTATTTCAATAGTCTCCCTCTGCTATGCTTTGATTTCACGCAGTTACATCCTGATCTTGGAAGGAGTTCTTGACAGTTCCTCGTGTTATCTCTGATACCTCTAATCACAGACGTTTGTTATCCTTCACAGAAGAGATGAGAGGGCAGTTTAATAATTCAACGGGCTTAATAAAGTAATACAAGGATGCATTTCTGAACTAAGGGAACAAAGTCATTGTATGAAGAGCACACATTAAAGGTCTAATTTGAAGCACAGCTAGTTAGTATCTCCCGGGTTCCCTCTACAAAAAGCCAAAGGGATTTCTCCATTGGCTTTTGCATTATGCAGAAAATGTTTTTTTGCAGAAAACGTTTATGATACTTACACGTTTTATTAAGCAGGATATTCTCCAGATATTAACACCACTTTATGAGTTCTGAAGTAAAGGAACTAGAGCACGGTCACATGACTTCACGTCACCACCGCTAAGCTAAAGGTGGCTAATGTTGGGCTATAAAGGAACTACAGCACGGTCACATGACTTCACGTCACCACCGCTAAGCTAAAGGGGCTAATGTTGGGCTATAAAGGAACTACAGCACGGTCACATGACTTCACGCCACCACCGCTAATCTAAAGGTGGCTAATGTTGGGCTATAAAGGAACTATGAAATTTAGTCGTGTCATTTAGACACTTGTTAGCAACCTCTGTTTTTAAACTCACCAGTGGGGGATCTACTGACATATTTTATGTCGTAAAACAAAACGTTTAAATCTCTTCAGCTTGTGTTAACCATACTGTAGACCTTATTTCAGGATAACAACCAAAAACATATTTAAAAAACCATTGACATCCAGAAGCGTAAATGCAATCTCTTCAGTTACAGTCACATGACTTCAACACCACTGCTAAGCTAATGGCTGCGAATGCTCGACTTGAGTTAACCACAGACCTTATTTCAGACTGCTAACCAAAAACACATTCAGAAAACCATTGACTTCTAGACGAGGGAACAGGAAGTTCTAAAATGTTGATTCATTTCAGATTTATCAGACTCATTCCTGCACTCTATACATAACCTGCTTTACACATTTGAGTTTTTGAACCTGTGTGCTACATAAAACTAAACTAAATAAATGCAGTTTCTATAAAAAATATAAAAAAGATGGTGTTGGCGGTGCTCGTAATGACTCCTGATTCCCGTGGCTCGACTCAAAGCAACAACGATGACACAGCGCTATTTTCATTACATTTTCTTGGACATATTCTCGGCTGAGCAACTGGTGCGAGCAACTGGTGTCTGGCTCGTGTTGCCACAGCAAATATACCAGCAACTCGCACTGAGAGCAGACATGTAGAGAGCGAATCACTCATTATCAGATGTGTTCTCATTTGGTATCACTCTCACAGCCAGAAACACTAATACCACAGATGATGGCGCAGCTCTCAAAGCTCAGCAGTACAACAACAGGGTGTCTGGGGTTTCAAGCTCTGCAAACATTGGCTTCTTTCTACCAGCAGAACACACACATGGACACACACACACACATGGACGCACACACACACACACACACACACACACACACACACACACACACACACACACACACACACACATGGACGGACACACACACATGGACGGACACACACACATGGATGGATACACACACACACACACACACACACACACACACACACACACACACACACAGGGTTTTCCTCAGTCTCGTGCCAAAGCAAGAAGAGGAAAAGACCGGTGTGAGGTGCTGGGAAATAAGCAGCATTAAAATAGTTAGGGCTTTTTCCACTGGCACATTCCCACATACGGCGAATACACAGAAGTGACAGGTGACTAGGCCTGGCGTGACTTCTGTCTACACACTAAAAACACACGAGATCCTCACGCATCTTCAAAAAACAAACACCAAAACAGGCATGCATTGCAGAGAGTGTGTACTCGCAACAGGTGTGCATCCACGCATGTGACCCACAAGAGTGCACACACATCCTGATGTCACCCCCATACGTTTGTATTCATCATTAACGCAGTTCAATCCACCATTATAGAGCTGTCTTCTTGCCATGTGCTTGAGGTTTTGGCGTGAGTTTTTGTGTGAAGTGTTCCACGCCGTGAACTTGGTTTATTCATTTGTTCGGAGAGGCTCTCTGGATCGTGTTGTCTTTTTTCTTTCTGCTTCCATTTTTTATATTCCGTGTGGTTCCCGTAAGCAATAACAGCCCATCACGTTCGTATTGCTCTCCAGTGGATAGCAAGGTCTCTTAGCTTGGCAGTTACAAGGGAACTAGTCACACACACACACACACACACACACACACACACACACACACACACACACACACACACACACACACACACACACACACACACACACACACACAC